GCCAGGAGTGACCAGGAATAACGGTCACAAGCTGGCAGAGGGGAGATTCAGGCTAGACATCAGGAGGCGCGACTTCACGGTCAGGGCGGCTAGGGTCTGGAACCAACTTCCAAGCGAAGTGGCGCTGGCTCCTACCCTGGGGGCTTTAAGACAAGGCTGGATAATTACCTGGCTGGGGTCACATGAGCCCAATATTCACTCCTGCCCGGGGGTTGGACTTGATGATCTACTTGGGTCCTCTCCGACCCTACATGTATGAATCTATGAGTTGGGGCTGGTCCTGCTTCAAGCAGGGAGTTGGACTAGCTGTGACCTCCTTGAGGTCCCTTCAACCCCCATTTTCTATGATCTTGTGATTCATTGCAATCCTGTTGTGCACAGCCGAGGATCCTGCTTGTGCCGCACCCCGCTCCTGTCCGCAGTGGCAGCAGGGTCTGCCACGATCACAGCGTCTTCCTCCTCATTGCACCACCCACATGTCTGGGCCTGGGACGGTCTCTCACCTCTAAAAATACCTCCTGCCCCTTCTATGTCCTTGCTTCTCTCCTCGGCCCTGTTGGGAAGCCGGCACTGCACAGCTGCACCATTCACCACTGCCCCTTCCTGTATTTCTAGCCACTTGCTGTACTGCAGCTAAGTCCAAGCTCCTGCCCTGTGGCGGACGTGATGACTTGGGGCTGTTTGTTCACTCCTTTACCTGCATCTATTTGGATGAAAAGCAGCATCAGACCCTGCCCCAAAAGGCCTGCTCTTAGCCCCGGGGTGCGTACAGATTCCCCTCCAAGCAGCACTTTTGCAACCCCGCTGTCTTGGACTATGTGAGTGCACAAGGGCAGCCACGCCAGGTACCGCATTTCAGGGCTGTGCGTGAGGCTTGCTGTGTTGGCAGAGGGGTGACGGCATTAACACGGGGAGTAAAAATGAACACGAAGCACTAATGAGAGGTGCCCGTTGAAACGGCGAACTAAAACGGCAGGCTTGCAGGAGCAGGATGGTGGTGTTGTGCCGTCTGCCACCTGCTGGGCGGTCTCCCGTGTCGAACAATATCGGTATTTGTGTACAAGATTGGTGTTTGTATACCTAAAAAGGTATACCAGACCTTTTGAGGTCCCAGAGCCCTACAACTGCAGTTCGTGAAACAAATTCTCAGCCTGAAGTTTCCAAGGCGCTAAAAAGCCCAGCTCCGTCTGGCGTGGAAAGCGGCTGTCACCAAACAAAAATCTTTGTGCTGGTGTTGGCAGATATGATAATCGGCTCGTTAATAGGCACCACAATGCCAGCCGTAATTGGGCTGAATACACATGGCGCAAGGGGCTGCAGGGAGCTGCTCTATCGTTTCTCTCACAAGCCGTTTAACAGGGTGGGGGGAGGCCTGGTTGAATAAGGCTGTTTTTCCAAGACGGGAGGTTTTCCGAAGTTGCAAAGACTCCCAGCATTTCCTTCCTTTGTGCGTTGGAAAAAAGCTCTGGAAAACAGGGACCGACTGCCTCTGCGCGTGGTGGAGACTGTCCTTTCTAGGGTGTCTCGGGCACAAGATGGCAGGGAGCGATGCACGGGCCTGGCTGGAGATATAGGCAGAAGGAAAGGCCCATGCAGAGAGACAGGCCCATGGCCATAGGAGATGAGCAGGCATCGCTTGCTCTCCGCTTGCTCAACCAGGCCTGGAGGAGGGTTTTGTATGAGATGAGGCTGGGCTACATGTCACGGGTGGGAGCCGGACCTGAGGGCCAGGGAGGCGCCAGGGAGGAGGAGTGCGAAGGCAGGTAGAGCAGCAGCCCAACGACCTGCGTCGCGGCCTGGCTGGTCCTGCAGGACCCCCAAACAGCTCCGAGCCACGCAGCCTCCCACAGAGACCGACATGACGCATGGAAAAACCTCCTCCCCCTCCACCAGCCATCGTTTGCAGCAGAAACCCCCCTCTCAGCCCACGTCCTCTGCAGCTGCGGCCAGCCCCAGGTGGGGGGCAGGGACCAGAGCCAACAGCTGGGGCTGGAGCAGGGAGAGGGGGGCTCCTCCGAGGCAGGCAGGTGGCTGCGCTGGCAGCTGAGGAGAGACCTGGCAGCTAATTGATGGGAAATGGCCATCAGCTGCAGAGGGAGGGGAGCCAGCTCCTTGCCTCCCCCCAGCTAAGCCGGGTTTCCGGGCTCTGCATTCCCCATCTTCCCGAGGAGGGACAGGGCCTTGTGCTGCAAGCTTGAGGCCACGTGGACAAGACCTGGCCATGCTAAAGGAGCTTTCAGGCGCTTTGCCAGCTGCCGGCACAGGCCTGGAGAGTAAGGCAGAAGCCTCTCGTGCTAGTTGCCCCAGCGTAGGGGGCGTCCCCCGAGGGGTCTCCAAGACCCCACACATCCCCGTGTCCCAGGGAGCCAAAGCTATAGGTGCAATGTTAAACCTGTCTTTCCTGGAGACCCCGAAGGTCAATAGGTGAGTGCTGCCGACAGTAGAAAACCTAGGCCAGGTTGCTTCCAGGCTTGGACGGCACATCTACATGTGTACTTGAATGTACATTAGCCTATTTTAATGTGCATTAAAGCTTCACTAAAAAAATGCAGTTAATGCGCATTAAAATAGGCTAATGCACATTAAGCATCACTTAAAAACTGTGCTCTTTAGTTAATGAGCATTAAGACAGGCTAATGCACATTTTCCTAGTGCCTCACAGTGGAAGTACTAGATTTAATGCACGTTAATTAAAGCACGTTAATGCACGTGTAGACATGCCCAGAGAGAAACAAGGGTTTTTGCATACAACTGAGAGGGGCTCAAAAAGGTAGTTTGTACTTTCAAAACACTTTCCACCTGGGTAAGAGCATAAGAACTGCCACGTACTGGATCAGCCCCTAGGTCCATCTTGCTGCCCAATCTGCTGTCAAAATCAGGTCCATCGCATCTCTCTGGGACCTGAGGAAGGTTAGGTGAGTGAATGATCCTGGGGGAACTTTTCAGAGACCTCTGGCTTTGGGAGCTGGGAGTCTACCTGCCTCTTGTGCCTTGGCACGTCCTCCACCTGGATATTTTTCAGCAGGCACCCAGAGGAAATGTGCTTCCTGCAGCACCCTCTGAGACTATTATCTCCCCTGTTCAGGAAACGTTAGTAAGCAAGCCCTCGGTTACTTGAAAACTTACTCCATGTCGTCCTCCTCCGGTGTGACATCTGAAGAGATTACCTGGACTTTAGTCCCTCCTGAGACCCCAGACTCACTCTAGGCTTTTGAAATAGCAAGTCCCCAGCTCCAAACAACTTGCTGGTTAAAAAAAAAAAAAAGAAAATCAAAGGAGACGTTGTCACTTGCAAGATCTGGTATCTTGAAAACATTTTATTTCATCACTATTTTGTGGTAGCATAAATAATAGCAAATGACAGCACATTTAACGGAAGGGAGGGAAAGCATTAGGTGCAGAGCGCTGTGTAAATTAACGTGGGGGTAGGGGAGAAAACTGTTGCACTGATAGTGCTGAGCAGTTAACGCCCTACTTCGTTTAAGTGAAAACATACCTAGGCAAACTAGCCGTATTTGGTGTTTGTCCCTGTATCGTGGGTCTAATTCACAAAACCATGATTGTATATGTATACATTAGATATGCATATACGTATATGTAGATACATATGCATATGTGTGTGTGTGTATAGTGCAGCTTGAACGCTCTGCAATTGCTTCACTTGGAACAGATATGCAGGAGGACGTACAGATTTACACATCCAGACTTCCCAGATTTACAATCCCATAGTCACAAAATGCCTCTCGGACAGAGTTTCACGGGAGCAATTCCCACCAATGTGGAGATTTTCATTAACAAGCCAGAGCTCATCTTCTTTTCTACAAGAGGTCGCCCCTAAAGAGGGAAGATTTGACGTGGGGAAGGGAGCAGCAGCACGCTCCTTTTCTGCTTTCCCATGCATATACAACGATGGCAGTCGTCACCGCTGTATATCCAGGAGGAAATGGGCAGCTAAGCTCCTCGTGAGAATAGACTGACAGTCCCAATGCCTGTAGAAAACCCAGGGTAGTTTAAAATGTATATATTGCATAGTGGCTGTGAACACATGTGTGCACCCACACACACATGCATGCACACGCATGTATGCACGCACTCCATGCCCCCCCCAAGGAGCTGTTACAGGTCCAGGTGGGTAAGCCTAAGGGACTGCTAAATGACGCTCTTGCAGCAACCGATCGTGAAACCTGGAGATTCGATTAGTGGGTCCCAGTTTCATGCGGAAAACACCGATTTGAACTGTTACCCCCTTCTCCCTGGCCTTTTGGCAACATGACGCCCCTGGCAAAAGGGAGGGGTTCATTTTTTTTTTTTTTGGCCGAACCTCCTTTAAAGAAAGGCCAGGACAGGAGGAGGTTGGGAGACCTTTTGTGAATGAAGCCCTTTACATACGTGCTAGTGCAGTGAATAATTCCAGTCTCGACGCCCGTCTGCATTCTCGGTCACATTTTGCATAGGAAACCGTCAACAGCAATTAACCACTTTGCTTTCTTAAGGGCACACTGCTTTTTACCTCTCATTTGCTCTACAGTTCAAGTGTCATTTCTGTTGTGCCCCACCAGTTAGTTCCAGAGTCTTTCGATATAGAGAATAAATTGCTCCTCTACTTACTCCAAGAAAAAACCCTGGGATATAAATACATATCCAGCTTCCTTTCATGCAGTAGCTTTCAGTTATAATGCACAGGCCATTTTAGTGCTAGATAAGACTACAAGGACATATTTCCAGTTAGCGTGTGGACTCTTGGCAGCTCACTTGACTTCTGGCTCATATTCTGTGTAAGTGGATACAGGGAAATTAAAGAGCGAGTATAAACAAAACGAGTTTATTTATAAAACGTCCCTTGAAGTTAATTATTCTTCGGGCTGTTGCGTAGATTTTTCAGCTCCAGCTGTAGCTGTCGAATCCTTATATCCTTCTGGGAGAGATCTTCCTTCAGCCGTCGGATCTCGTCTTGTTGTCGGAAAAACATTCGGAGGAGCTTAAGGGAAAGTAAAAATAGCGGTAGTACGCGGTGTTAACTTCTGTAGCGCCTGTTCACCCCCACAGCTCTGGTCCCCCCCCCATCTACGCAGGACCCCGCTTTCCTTGCAGGCGGTAGCTCTGCTCCCTTGAAACCCCTGCCCCTCTGCAGCCCAGCTCGCTTTGAAACCCCTGCCCCTCGTCGTCAGCAGTCAGTCCAGCTGCATGCGAAGGACCCGACAGCTGCAGGCCGGAAAAGAAAGTTAGCGCCAGACTCAGCGCCCTGACACGTTGCTCCGCGAGACGGGGTTGATGAATGCTACTGGGAGCTTCGTCTTGGATGCCCTGTGTTTAAACTGCAGCAGAGGCTCTCGAAAGCACAAACCGGTGGTTTCCAGGCTGCACTGCTGTCTTTTCCATTGAGAAAATCAGGACCTCCACCACTTGCCCGCAGCCCTCGATGGCCAAGCGGTGATGGAGGTCGCTGAGGTGATGGGCGGCTGATTTCCAAGGAGGATCAGCATCCCCAGCCTGCAGCTGCTGTGAAGGTCCAGGGGACCAGCACGGGAACAGCCCTCGAGTCCCTAGTTGTGATGGCGAGGTCTGTTTGCAAGCGATTCGGGGAGCCGCAAGTCTAAGGGGCAGCAGGACAGCGCGGGGGCGTTGCGTGCGCTCACCCGGGTGTCGGCAGCACCGATGCTGAGCACGCTGCAGACTAGCTTGTGCCGTCTCAAGCAGGGGAAAGGCTTCGAAGCTCTCGAAAAAGGGCCCTGAGTTTGACAGCACCCGGAAGGAGGCAGTCCTGGTATGTGACTGAGTTGGTTGAGACTGAATCCGGCCTCTTCTGACTTCCCAGAAAAGTCAGCAGAGCCAACCAGCTGTATTGCCCCGTGTTAGAGGAACCGGGCTTGCAGCTTTCCGCTCGGACAGGCGAGATCCGCCCCTTGAAGCCAGGCGGCATCCCCGCGTCTTACCTCGTTCTCGGTCCTAGGCGGCACATTTTCTAGCAAGTCTATCCCATTAACGACGACGCTCTTCTTCTCTCTTATCGGGGCCTTAAAGACCATTTTGGACGTCTTTTTATAGCCCTCTTTCAAAGACATCAGTATGGGATCTAGGGTGAGAAAACCAAGAGGGAAATGACCGCCTGCTCCGCTACACTGCACGACTTCGAGTTTCTTTCCTTTAAAAGGCCCTCCTCCCTTTTCACTTGCTAAAGTGCACTCCCCACCAGTTCGACCCCAGTGCAGGGCAATCCACCTGGAAGCCAAAACCTTCATGTCAAATCCCAGCTCAGCAACCGACCTATTATGTGACCTTCGCACCCCGCTTCTCTGCCCCGGTGCTTCCCATCCTGCCCTTTGTCTTGTCTAGTTTCACCACAAACCCTCCAGTGCAGGCATCCCCTCGATACACAGCGCACACTGACCAGGTAATACTGCTTAATATGTCCGTCCTCAGCTGTGACATATCTAAAGCAGATGATTTCACCCACACCTGCTCAGACAAGGTACGTCTGCATTGTCTTCGGCACGACAGCCCCCAAGCACAGCTGGAGCTGCCGGGGAGTACAACTATACGAACAAAGGTCTCTTAGAGACATGCAGCCTCCTTAACCCCAGGCAGAGCCCATCTGAAACGGTTCCTGCAGGCTTTCTGCATTAAGTGCATTCCCGCTGCTGCCAATGCACATGCCGGGGGGGCTGTCCCTGCGTCACGACTTCACGGCGAGTGTGGGGGACCAGCGGTTGTGTCGGGTATCAGAAAAAAGCAGGAGAGCCCCGCGCCGGGTTAGTTCATTTACCTCTGTTCATTCCACTCAGCCATTCATCCGGCGTAAGGGCCGGCTCCGTACCCGGAGTCATCGGGTAAATGTCCTCTTGGTACGTTTCAGACTGCAAACGGGGGAGAATAACGGTTGTCACCACCTCCATACGGTTGTCAGCAGCTGCTAGCCGCCTCTTTCAGAGACGGCTTGCTTGCCGGCGCACGGCTGCACAGACGGTCAGCAGCACCCCAGGAAAAAGAAATAACTAGCTGTGCTTGCCCCATTTGCTGAAATGGGAAGTCAAGAGTCCTCGCTGCTGCCTATTAAATACATGCTCGAATGAAAACAATACCCCAGCCAGGCTGAGCTGTGCCATGTGCTCCAATGCCGGCCTACGCCTCGGCCGTGCAGCGGACAAGGGAGTTCAGAGGCAAAACAACCACCAAAAGTTGCGTCCATCTGCCTAAAAACTGAACCGAAAACTTTGGGCTGGTTCCTGCTGCTGGGGAAACGGGCCAGGGCGCACCGAGCATACGGCCACTCATTGGAGATCCCGTTTCAAAGGCGAAGAGCGCACGCTCTGGGCACACAGCATGTAAAGGAAAATCTCCAAGGGAAATAAAATGAGGAAAGCTGCACACAAGGGAAAGGGGCCAAAAATATATTCCCTTCTCCACCCCTCTTCTCCCCCTCCCAACTCCATTTATCCGCCTGCAAGTGACTGGAAAGTTCAGAGGACAAAGGAAAACAGGGTCTGTCGAGTTGCTTCTGTTGGAAAAGCATTGCTGCCTGACCATCTTAAATCAGCCTCACACCCAGGGGTGGCTCGTATTTTTGTTTCAAAATTCAGGACCTTCCTAGTGACAGCTGGGCTTTGGCTCTTTGTCGTGCAGCTCAAGTGGGGGGGTTGATGTCCCAAAAACCAGCAGCGGCATGAGCCAGAACAATCCCAGGATCACCTCTTTAGGAAGAAATTGAGCACAGAGCAAGGGGTTCATGTCACTGCAAGCTGTGGGCATTATAAGAAAAAAAATTCCCAGCCGGGATGGAAGTTGGGATCTTAACCGAATAACTGGTGTACGAGGCAGGCGACATGGAGCTGGGCCCGCTGGAGAGGGCAGGGGGTCACCCACAGCCTGGAAAAAAGCAAGCTTGTGACACTAAGTTGTGAGCTAGGGATATGGCGAGCAGGTTCAGAGGGCATTTCCCAGGCAGCCAGGACAGATATTGTGGGCAGCAATATAACCCCCGAGGTGTTTCGTTTGCTATACACAGCTGGCCACGGCTCATTTGTCACCCACTGGATCTCCAGCATTTTCACCCGAATGCCTCTGATCCACGCACACGAGAGCCAGGCTCCCTGCACCATCTCAGGGCGAGCGACTGAGTCCCCATGGCTCTCACCTGGCAATCGTTCGAAATGCAGAACCCAGACTTCTTTGATGCAACTGGGGAGCAAAAATGCAGTGACCCCTGCTCTGCTGTCCCAACTTGCCTAGAGACAAGGCGTTAGCATGCCGAGTTCAGGGCCCCGAGCCAAAGTGCCGATTTCCACTGAAGTACTCACCCTTCTTGGCACGATCATTGAGATTGGCTCAATCAGACCCTTCAAGGTAACGAGCTTGTAGAACCTGAACACCTCGCACGCGGACACGTCCAGCCCGTGCTTTGGCATCACACCTGTTGGAGAGTGCATGCGTGAGCAAGGGGCCTTCCACTCGCACTGCAGTGGGCAAGGGCTCTGGCAACGTGGGTGCATTTTCTCAGTGAGGAGATTGCCAGCGGAGGCCCACGAGCGGGTGCCTGCGCTGCATGCCAACGTCACGAGACGTCATGTCAGCCCTGACATCATTGCATGTAAAAGCCACAGTCAAAAAAAGCATCATTATTTCCTATAGAAAATTTGCAGGGCTTCACAAATGAAGACGAGCCGCCAGCGTGTTGTACAAGGACGTGATTCTCTGCCTTTTGCTTAAAAGCGAGGTGTTGATGAGGGCTGTCTTGTACCACTCTCGTAACCTAGAGCCTGCCAGTGCTGCCAGTGACTTCAGCTTAAGTTGTAGGGGCCTGTCCTTCAACACTCGGCGCTACAACTCCTGGCGGGCTTGCTGCACGCCCAAGGTATGGACAGACAGCTCTGCAAAGCCGTGACCGCACGGTAACCTGGAGCTTTTCACATCAGACCCACATGACACGGGTCTGCAACTGCTTTCAGGCCGGCTCAGGACGGAGCGAGCTGCTAGCAAAGTGCCCCAACGGCATGGCGGCTATACCGCCAAAAAAACCTTTTCACATGCAGGCTTGCAACCAGCTGAGAGTGGGGCAGGTGCAGTGATCAGGGCATAGCACTGGCAGCAACCAGGGGAATATGAAACAGGTGGATCTTATATGCAGTAATGGTGGGGAACCACACGCTGCCTGAGGTTGCATATTAAAGATTTAGGACTACCGGTGGGATGAGTAATTGTACATGCATTTTCTTTGGAAATGGAGGACTACAGGTGGGGTGAGTAATCGTCCATGCATGTTCTTTGGAAATGGAGGATACATTCCTGCCATGGGAAGAGCCACACATATTAAATACCACCCTGAAAACCACTGCAATCCTAAACTAATTTTCCAGCAAATAATCAGCTACCTAATGGCACAGAACATATTTGAACAGTGAAAGTCAGCGCGGTGCAGACAGCATGGGGCTTTTTTTTTATGCAAAGCATGTTTACCAGCAAAATTGAATTATAACACTTCAGTCTTTTTTTGAGTAGGAGTGCCCAACGGGAAGAACGATCCATACCATGCGAGCCCTTACCCAGTCCTTTCTGTGGGGCGGGAGAGCGAAACTCCATGAGATAATTCAGGTAGGGCTTCTCCGAGCTGATTTCGTAGTATCGGATGTTCCCATCTCCCTGGGGGGTGGGGAACAGAGGTAAGTTTAACAGCGGGTTGTGCAAGCTGTACGCAAATGAAAGGGCTGGTTCAGAGGAGCATCACAGGACGCCGCCCATCATGCTGCGTGGGAAGCATACCGTGCATGGGAGGATGCAGCCCCCCGAGCCAGCCCGTGCAGGGTCTTGGTGCAGCAGCTGCATTGTTTGGGAAGGGAGACTGGCAGGGTGACTGGAGGTTTTCCTAGCCACACTCCCCACACAGCAGATGTTTGCTAAGGGGCTACAAACACAACTTCACCAGGCACAGCCTGTGCCTGGGCATTCGACCGCGCATGCTCCAGCACAAACAGACACGATACCGGAGCGCAGCTAAAGCAAGGAGCATCCTTTAACCAATCCGAGCGGCTGGGACACGTGTTAAAACCAGGCCTGGCCCATCCTGGAGGAGCAACAATGAGCAGCAAGCAGGGCTGCGATGCACAGGCAGGGAGCCACCGTGCTGACATTTATACGCGCGCTCCCGGCAAAGCACACGCTGTGCGTTACGCGGGGCCATACGCTGGCTCTGGCAGGGGCCCGTATGCAGCCAATAGGAAACCCATTGCATTTAAATTTTTTCGGGGCCTCCTGTCTGCGGTGCAGTATTTGCATCCTGGATGGCTCTTTCCAAAGCTGTCTGGAAGCATCGGCTAGCCGGGCTGCAAAGGGGGCAGGTGATCCTTCACAGAGACTTGGGCACATCTATCGCTCCCAGGAGCAGCTCCATCGACACACGACACACCGCCGAGGCCAAATCCAAAGGCGCGACTCCAAATCTGCGCTCACGAAAGCTTGATCAGCCTCTCGGCCCCAGTGTTTAAATGTAAATGCGCTCGTCAGAGACGGGCCCCTTTGCTTGCTTGCCTTTGGGAGATGATCGAAACTCCGCTAAGTCAGTCTCGGCCTTAGTGCCACGTGTCGCTTTGTGGCCTGACGCAAACCAACGTACCTTTCCAGCCAAGTACAGCATGTGCGTGTCAGCATCGTAGAAAGGGAACAGGAGCCCTGAGAGCCCGTCGATCTCCTCCTCTATCAGGGGCATGGACAGGTCTTCCTGTACGGGGAGGAAAGCACTGAATGCATCAGCAAAGCATCACAGCAGAATTGCACAGGTGCTTTGCACTAAATGCAAAGTATCAGCAAAGCAACACAGGTTTTGCACAAGCGGGGTCCACTGGTGGGCGATGTCTGGGAAACCTGGGCAAACCTGCCATCCTCCCCCAGCGCTGCCAGGGGAAGAAGTATCATACGAGTCAGAGGGGAGGGGGAGACTGAGGCCACTGTCTGGACCCTGGACACATGGAGCAAAAAGTGGCTAGTTAAGGTCTTGTGCAAGTGCACTGCTGGGCCCTGGATGTGTCCCGGGTCCGTAGGGGATGCAGTACAAGCAGGATCCAGCCACCCCTCAGCCCGGAGCTGTGCTGGGTGCTGGCGTTGCTGCGCGGTTTGTGCCTGAGACCCAGTCTGGGCCAGCGTGGGCTGGGCTCTGAGCAGGGAGGGGAGGCAGAAGGAGAAAGGAGGAGAGTGCAAAGCACTTTCTCCCTTTCTCTCTCCCGAGACAGGTCTGGGGGTAGTGATGGTCTGCAGGGCGCGGACCCTGACCTCCGGGGGCAACCGGTCCCCAAAGCGGACAGGGCCACGGCCACATCCCCAGTGCACGGACAGACTCAAACTCTTCGGTCTACAAGGCTGTGCATGATGTCAAAGGCGAGGGCGGGAAGGTTTGCTGGGCTGGGGCCGGTCAGCTCACATCTGCCTTAACTAATTGTGCACGCCAAGCTCCAGCTTCCCAGCCAGCCCTCCACTGGAGGCTGGCCCAGATTCTCCGAGTTATATAAAGACCTATGCAGCATCCCTTAGGAAACAAGGAGGAGCAAAGAAACCACTCCGCATGTGCTTGGTTTTTGGTTGCTACAAGAGGCATCTCGATCGCGTCTCGTGCCGGGGGATGCTGCAGCTCCCGAGGGACGTGGAAGTCAACAAGAGCTGAATTAGGCACCTAATTCCTGCCAGTCTGCTGATGGAGAGCCCATTCCCACCGAGGATCCCAGCTCTTTACCAGCGTCGATGAATTCAGATGCAGGAAAGCATTGCCGCCAGGCAGGTGTCTGCATGCTGCGGATGGCACCGGACACCTGGACGACTTGCCCCCAGTCACCTAAGCCTGCACGGAGCAGGGCGCGGACCCTTGGACCCGCCCGCGTGCCCCCTCCGCCGCCGGGGAGGGCTGCTGACCTGGTCCCAGAGCGCGATCTGCCTCGTGTTCCACCGCGACACGCCGGTCGTGAGCAGCCGCTTCATGTTCCCGAGGAAGACCACCCGGTTCACGCGGTGGTTCTTGCAGCTGGCTTCCTGGAAGGAGAAGAGGCCGGATGTGCTACGCGGGCTGGGCGGCGGCACCTTTCAAGCGCCCTGATCTCTAGGCGAGCTACGGTGGAAACCCAAGCCCCGGAGTTGGGGAGCGTGACCCTCCAGGGGATCTCGGCCCCGGGCGTCCCGCACGATCCCCCGCTCTCTGCACGGCCTCTGCAAGCTGCATTCTCCCCTCGTCCTTCCTCTCCTCCCGCGCTGCAAACTGTGAGCTCGGTGCTCATGCAAGGGTCCCAGCAAAGAAGGGAGGGAGCAGTGTCTGTGATGGGTTTGGGGGCTAAAACGGGGCCGGATCCCTTCTACTGTCTTGCCTTAAATGTCTATGTTGACATTTGAGACTCCGACGCTTCTCGAATATCGTACACATCCCTTCCCAGGGCCCCTCATTCCTCGGGAGCTCTTCCCTCACGGCGCGCTTACGGTGAGCTTAAAATTGTTTCCTCCCACCGCCCCCAGCTTTTCCCCAGCTGTACATGTCAGGAACGCAACTACCAACTTTGGAAACCCTTCACTGAATAAAGCCTAAGGCTGCGTGTGCATTTGCCAGAAATAACAGATGCCTTTCCTGGGACTTCCTTGAGACAGATCCTTGGCAACTCTTCTGCACCCAGCTCTTCACCTGAAGCACTCGGCCCGAGCGCGGCTCGATGACTCGCAGCTTCTTGTCTTTGCAAGTGGTAGAGAGCAGGCTGCCGTCGGTGTTGAAGGACATGCAGAGTATGACGTCCGTGTGGCAGTCGATCATCTTGACCGGCTCCCCGATGTCCAGGTTCCAGATGAGAACCTGGAGGGAAACGAGGAAGGATTATGTTAACCCTCATTTGCAAAAGAAAAATTCAGTGCCAAGGCTCCTTTGCCCGCACGTGGCAATACATCGGTGCAAGACCGCGCCTGGCTCGGCGCTTACGCCCGATTGCAACCCCCAGCATGAGCACGTGGGTGTCATTTGAGCCAAACCAGCAGACTCCGGCCCTGGGAAAGCCAGCTGCGCCGTGCCCACCCAAGCTGTGCTCATGCGCAGAAGATGGGCATGCCAGGCCGATTTGATCTCTTTAGCATTCGTGTGATATCAAGGAAGGTAAAGGATAACTTCTGGTCGTAGCCGTGTGTCGTTCTGCCGTCAGAAGGACTCTGAACCTGGCAGTTTGGGGCTCCGTGTTTATTGGCCCTCCCTGGTTTCCCTTGCAGCTTTTGTTCAGCAGATCAGTAAAAAGACAGGCCCTTTTCACCCCAGCAAACTCAAGCTGGGTGAGCTGGGTTCTGCTGTCACGACACGCGACCACCCAGCCAACGTGTCCCGTGGTCCAAATGAAACGGCCGGTTGCATCCCCACCACCCCAGCCCCGCGTCCCACAGAAAAGGAGCAAAAGTCCTGCAGGATCAGTGAAGCAACAAACCCACTCCCCGCAGCTATTTCTGCAATCCCTTCTTGAGGCAGGATGTTGGAAACATGGGTGATCTGGTTTGGCTGCACAACGCGGACGAGTCTGGGAGCACAGCCACGAGCGTAAGAGCTCGAGTTCAGTGCTAGCTTTGCAGGGTGACCAAAGTACACGCGAGTTTTACATGAGCATTATGCAGACAGAAGGCCACTATGACTAGGTAAAAGGAAAATATCACTGTCTGCTCTGTGTCCTCATGTTAGTCCATGCCAAGTTCTCTGGGGAGCAAGATCCCAATGCACCTGCCTCAGCAGATCCTGGATCTCGAGTGCATTTTCATTGCATTGATTAGCAGGGAGTGGTAGAAAGACCCGAGAAGGAGAAGCGACCATGACAAAAAACAGCAAAAGGCTTGGCCAACTGTGATTTCGATCTTTCAAGACCCTTCAGAGAACCGGGGCCAGGTCCACACTGGTGCAGCCATATCGGTCGGGGTGGGAAGGGCGAGATCTTTGCCCAGAGCTGCGTTGGTGGCATAACATAAGAAAAAAACGTGCTTTTCCTGCAGTGGCTGGTTTTGCTCAAGGGGTAGTGTGACTGGGCCACTGTTTTTACTGGAGCTATACTGGTAAAGAGCGGTCCCAGCTACAGCCGAGCGTAGCTCGAACTCTTCCGGTGTACTTCACCTTGTAGTCGTAGCCCGCGCTGAACAGGATGTTGTTGGCGGTCGGGTGCCATTCAACGAGCCCGACCCGCCGGCTGTGCCCGTACAGCTCGAGGACGGCGTCTGTCAAGTTGCGCTTTAAGCCTCCATCTGGAATTTCCCATATTCGCACCTGAAAGGACAGCGGGAGCAAAGGTTATCGGGAGGAGACATCTCTGCCCTGATCTGAGAGGCCTCCGAGAGCCTCCTTTTCTCTGCCGAGTCTCCATTCGCTAGGCTCTCCCCCAGGAGATCATCAGGATCCCCGAATGCTATGGGAGAAACGGGGCTGAGCGTGTGCAAAGGCAGCGCGCTCACACCATCCCCTCATTCCCGTCTGTACAGGGTGGGTTTGTATTCCCCCCTCCCATCTCCCGTGTCCCCAACCTGCTCCCCGAATTCTGGCTGGCAATGGGAAGGCAAAGCCTTGGTTTTCTTCCGCAGAGATGGGCTGGCGGGTCTAGTCCTCTAAGCCGTGCGAGGGAACTGCAATGGCTGGTAAAGAGGACCCGGCGTGCACCTGGTGCCCATAACGCAAAGTGAAAAGTAATGCAAAAAGATACGGCAGAGCCCTCAAAAACCAGCACCTGAAAGATATGCCACTCACTCGTCTGCAAGTGCACACGTGCACACCCCCGGGGGAAAGAAATCCAACCTCGCAAGAGACCTCCTGAAGAACCAGAATGAAGGACTTCAAGATTTAGTGCTGTTGCTGGATAGCAATAGTGGCAGCAATATATTTCGTGCTGTTTGTGCTGCCATAGCTGGGCAAACCATCTTCACTAGCTTTCGTATCTGGGGAGCGAGTATTGTGAAAGCCGGTACCCATTTGCTGTTAGCAGCTGCCTGATGGACGGCCTTGAACTACTGGAGCGAACTGGGGAAGACGGTTATGTGATATCCTTGTTTTGCCATTTAGCATGGAGTTAAAAGGGTCACTCGTGACTCACGTAGCTTCAGTTCAAAACAGGACCGCACCTGATCTCGGTCTGGTAGGGCAAAGTGACACCCCTGATGGTAGTCAAGATAGTTGGTGCGCGGCGTTCAATCACCAGCTGAAATCCTCAAGGAACGATTGTGCCTTTGCATGAGCCGATCACAGCAATTGTAGGAAAGTTGGGCTGGAAGGGACTCGCAAGGTCATTTAGTTCAGCCCTCTGCTCAAGGCAGGACCAGCCCTAACTACACCATCCCAGGCACGCGTCTAAGCTGCTCTTGAAAACTTCCAAGGATCCACCAATTCTCTGGGTGCTTATTGCAATGCCTGACCCCTCTCCTAATCTCCAACCTACATTTCTCCTGCTGCAGCTTGAGGCCATTGCTCCTCATCTTGCAGAGCCACAGAGAAAAAGCCATCTCCATCCTCTCTGTAATTGCCCTGCAAAGGTCTGCTCTGCCCGATCCGCATCTAGCATTCACAAAGCTGTAAACGCACACGCACACACTCGACCGATACCTGCTGTCACGCCACTGACTTCGGCGTGGGCAGAGCAGCGCGCACGGCCTATGCTACTTCTCCGAGGAGGAGAAACAACACAGAGAGGCTGTTGCATTGCAGGGGGATTCACAGTTGCATGGGCATCATTAAACAGGGTCCCCAGTGGCTGCTAAATTGTAATGGCCTTTCAGACAAGTGGAGTCAGGGCAAAGCTGAGTGCTTCCGAGGCCTGCACAACTGCTGAGGACATCAAACAAAACCCAGGAAGAAACATTTGGAAGATAACGGGTGCACCGTGCAGGGAAAGACAGGGTTATTTGAAGACTTCTCTCCTCTTCATCTCCGTCACAGGGCACCGGTGCGGGTCTGAGCCCACATCAGCCATGCCACTTCTGTCGAATTCGGTCAAAGAGCCTTTTTTGATTCGTTTTTCTGCAGAGCACCGCGGTAGTACAGGACACTCGGAAAATGGCATCTCAAGACGTGCTGGGTGGACCTAAGGCATTGGTTGAATTCAGGCTGGCATGCTCTGTGCCGCTTAACCACCCGGACGGAGACAAGCAACGGCTCGGACATGCTGAAACTCTTAGCTCTGCTCAAGTGCTTGGATGTTGGTGTCACAAGAACGGCACTTCCTTCACATCTGTTCCTATAGTTCAGATCAGAGGACGACACCATTGCACTTGAGGTTTCCCTTGCACCCAGCTGCTTATTGCTCCAGCTCAACACAAATCTGGCCTGCAGCCAGAGGTACGACGGTGGGACTGAGAAGGCCGAAGCAAGAGCGCAGCGGTATGGAAAGCATCTGAAAATCTGTGCGGTGGAGAGCTATTCTCAAGCCAACGGGAAAGCATGGAAATCTTCCAAAGGGAGCTGTAAAGGCAGTGACCGAGGAAGCTGATACCAGACTAAATATTGGGGAGAGGCCTGTTCTCTCTATCTGGCATGTGCAACGCGATAGTGACCCTGGGGACTTGCTGGAAGAGGAACGTAAAGTTGTGAAAACATCTGGTCGGACAAGAAGCAAGTAGCATTGTGATGGCAGAAGCGCATCCCAGATCATGGGGGAGAAGCAGTTTTCCAGAGGGGGTCGGGAGGACGCTATTAATGGTGCAACCACAGAGCGGGGCGAGATGGGGAATGGTCAGCTTCTGCCTTGTCCATCAGGACTTGTCCTCTGAGTCGGGACAGAGGTGTACAATCCTGAAGCAGAAAGCTAGCTTCCAGATCTGCCAGCCTGCAAAAAAAATCAGCCGCTGAACCGTCTGCTTGAAACCCGGTATCTATGTCGCAGGCTGTGCAAGGCCTAAGTTATCGATCGCTGGATCACACCGGCCGAAAGGGCACGCCGGGACAATAAAAACAGTAGCTAAAAGGTCAAGCTTACAAAGTAGGAGCCTGCACAATCTGAATTGCACAGATACGCCCGAGATGGGCATCGGTGAGACAGCGAAGATGGACATCCCCACGCAACGAAATCCAAGCGGCGACTACGATTGACAGGACACGAAAGACACATGGCGAGTTGCCCCGCAGGCTGACTGCCCCGGCACGGATGGGCCCAGACTCTCCTGTCACTTCGATGCATTACACAGCGGTCTGGCGCCTTGGAGGGTCCGGATTTGAGTCCGTGAGAGGAGACGAGAGTAAGGCCCAGGGCATCCATGTGAGAGCGGAGCTGGGGAGCGAATGGACGTAGTCATAAAAATCCCTATGTGCTTTACAAAAATGAAAGAAAGGAGTCCAGCTGAGACAGGGTAGGCTTGACTCTAGATTTGCAAGCCTCAGGATGCAATCCAAGCAGCACAACAAGCCTGACACGCCCGGCGGGTGGATAGTCCTCTCGGCCTGTGCCAACCACTACCAATGGCGTGCAATTAGCAGCCCAGACGCTCATTAGGGCCTGTCAATGCCAAGGCTACTACTGGGGGCAAGGGGTTACAAGGTCAGCAGCCTTAATGAGGTGCGAACAGCTGAAAGCAGGTTGTTCCCGGCTAGGATGAGCACACAGAGGTTGATTGCTTTAATTAGCGGCTCTACTACTGACATCATCAGGATCCTCAAATGCTGTGGGAGAGCTGGGGCTGAGTGTGTGCAAAGGCAGCACGCTCACATCACCCCCTCGTTCCCGTCTGTACGGGGTGGGCTCGTGTAGCCTTCTCCCATCTCCTTTGCCCCCAACCTGCTGATGACTAGTGCCGTTTGCACTATTCAAATGGCTGCACACCTCCCTTAAGGGCACCGTAAGTGGCTTGTACTGTATTTCAGAAGTCAAATATCTATGGAGAACTCCAAGGAATAGGTTAAAATCCAAAAGCTGAACCTTCTGGGCTAAAGTCTGCCCTTTTTCCCACTGTAAAGCCAAGTTAATTCCACCAAATCAACGGGCATTTGCATTAAAGTGTGCGTGTGAGAGACAACCCGGGTGCATCTCTAAACAGCGGGCTCCACGTGTTCCCGAGGCAACATGAACTGCTGGAGAGAAGACACTTTGCCTATGCCAAAGAAGTGGAGGAGCCCATAAAACCACGGGAGAGAAACTTCGCTAGGTTCACCGCAGAAGTGGTGCAAGCCCACAAAGAGGCTGCCAGCTCATGGTTTTAGCTAGAACCACGGGGACGGGACCCCTGTTTGCACTGCGGCCCCAGGTGTTCAAGGCTGATCTAGAAGCATCCTATTGAAGATGGTGGCCAGCTGCAGAAGGTGCCAGGTCTTTCTTCCAGATAGAGGAAGTGCAAAAGCAAAGCCAGAGCGGTTACTGCCCTCCATGCACTCAGGCTGAGCTTTGACCAACTGGTCGCGCTCTTGCAAAACTTCCGGGTGTGCTCTGGGGTTAATTTATACAGGGCCTCTGCAGCGTTCGCTCGGCTGGCGACCTGCAACATGCTGACAGCCTAAAAAGCGGCCTTGGAAAGCTGCCACGCTACAGATCGAGCAGGTGCTCACGTCAGGAGCAGGTAAAATAGTAATGAAGCTCTGCAGAGTGTGCAACCGAGCCGCCGGTAGAGAGAGAGGCTGGCTTGTTCTCTCCTAACGTGCTGAAACCTCTCTCCAGATGCATCTTCACCTTTCACTCGATGGTTTGCCGTGAGAGAAGAACAGCATTGCAAGGTAGCAAGCACCACTTATATCAGCGCGCGGGGAAGGGATGGGTTGGGAGGGTCAAAGCCTTGTTAAACCGTCTGATATCTCTCCTTCTTTCGGTGATGGCACGCAGAAGAGAACTGTAATGGAAACTCAGGAGTCTTGATTCGGGGCCCCGAGGGCCTGTCTGGCTGGGCAACTCGTGCCTGGCAATCTGCAATGTGGCACCACGTTTGCAGCCTGTGTCCGTTGCAGCTGCACCGTCTCTGGGATCCCCACAATAGTGTCTTTCCCGTGACGTCTTTCCAGTCTTCAGCCTGTGACTGTCATAATTGAGGCAGTTTCCTAGTTATCTTTCATCCCAGAATGGGGTCACCGTGGCCTGCGATCTGGCCACTCTGAGACCAAATACAGCAGGACCACCGTTCCCCATCTGATGCAGTGGTCAGAAGGAAGCTGGTCAGAAAACAAGGCAAAAACCTGAAGTTTTAGGACTGAGTTTCCTTCCACTGTGGGATGATAACTCTACTGTCAGGACAGCGAGACCCTTGAGAGCCAGTGCCCCAGCAGGCAGGGAGTTCACCCACCTGGTCTGGAGCAGGCATTTGAAA